CGTAGGAATATCAAAGAAAAGCAAGTAAGTAAAAGCCTATAAGAACATTATTTAGGGGCTAGAGACAGCGGGTGGTGGTTAAGAGCACTGGCTGCTCTTGCAGAGGACCCAGATTCCATTCCCAGTTCACATGGCAGCTCACAACTGTCTGGAACTCTAGTCCAGCGGATCCAACACCGTCTTCTGGTCTCCACAGGCACCAGGCACACATGGGGGTACACATACATACATGTAGACAAACACTCATACACATAAAATAAAAGTAAATAAATCTTTCAAATATATTTTTGCTAAAGTAATACTGACCCCATACCTAAACAAATATACTAGAGTAATAACATGTTCACAGAAATGAAAGGTTTTAAATTTTCTCTTTATGTTCTTTAATATTTAAAATATTCTCTAATATATTCTTGCTGATCTTTAAAAACTGTCTTACAGGTCTGGAGAGATAGCTCAACAGTTAAGAGCACTGACTGCTCTTGCAGAGGACCCAGGTTTAATTCCCAGTACCCACATGGTAGCTAACAACTATCTGTAACTCCAGTTCCAGGGGATGTGACGCCTTCTTCTGACCTCCGCACGCATTGCACAACATGGATGTGCTTACACACATGTAGGCAATACACCCATATCCATAAAATAAAAATAATAAATAAAATTTTAAAAACTGTCTTACACATGTTAGAAATGTCCCTCAAGAGTGTAAAACTGCCTGTCCCTTCAAAAACAAAATGTCAGAGCTAGAGAGATGGCTCAGCAGTTAAGAACACTGGCTGTACTTGCAGATGACCCAGGTTCAAATCCTAGAAACTACATGGCAGCTAAAAACTGTCCGTAACTCCAGTTCTAGGGGATCCCGCGCCCTTTTCTGTCCTCTGTGGGCACTTCATGATACAGGTGCAGTTACACGCAGGCAAAACATGTATACACAAAAAATAAAAATAATAAATTAAAAATATTTTTTAAAAATTTTTATTTTAAAAATAAAATGTCATACTTTGTGAAATTCCTTTTTCTTTAATGTTAAGGTACTTCCTTGTTTCTTCAAAGATTTACCATTCAGCCATAAATTCTCCAAATAATGACAGGGAATAGATGTTGTATGAGCTGGAACACAAAGAGCAGTAAGGCAGCACACCTTGCCTCCTCATACCAGTCCTTACTTTCTCCTTCTATGAGAGGGAAAAGCTGTCAGAAACACCAAGTCAGATGTTCTTCTTCTCTGTCCCACCTCAACAGGGGTTTTCCTCCAAGAAAGGGAAACAAGTTCGTTCTGGTTATGATCTGGGTGCCTGATTCTCAATCCAGCTTTCTCGTCTTGATTTCCTTCCCTACAGTATTCTGTCTGGTGAGTATCCTCATGCAAATGTCCCAACAGTGTCATGCCTGCACATGCGAACCCCAATCCTGCTTTATCTTCCATATTTTGGGCTTTACAAAGATGTTATCATCCTCTCATGGCATGGCATAGATCTCTGTGGCACTGAGTTAAGATTCTGGTGTGGGGGGGTGCTAGAGAGATGGCTCAATGGTTAAGAACACCTGCTACTCTTGCAGAAGACCCAAGTTCGGTTCCCAAAAACTATACTGGGCAGTTCACAAATACCTTAACTCCAGCTCTAGGGAACCCTATGTCCTCTTTTGGCCTACTAGGGCTCATAGTGCGTATATATTAGACACACACACACACATATACATATAATTAAAAATAATTAAAACAATTTTAAAAAAGAATCAGTGCCAATCATTTTCCTACACTTGTTTCTTTTTTCTGTAAAAGCTGCCAATGACAGGATCAAGTTTACATGGTTACTGGGCTAGAGATAATGATATCAGTAGGCACTTTGCAGTTAGATATTCCCCTTCTTCACCCTGGATTTAGTCATCAGCCACAGCCCACCAATGTTGCTTTCTATTTCTACCACCCCATCCTGGTTTGGCCATTCAGCATTTCCATCTGTAATAAATGTAAAACTCTGGAACACCATGCCCCCTTTTCTCTCCAGTCTTCTGGCCTATCAATTCCATGAGACAAGAGGTATGATGGGTCTTACTCCTCTTGTCCATTTTCCCATCAGCCAGCATAATCCCTGGCACAGGAAAGGTATCTGACAAATATTTCTTGGCAATGCTGCTTTGTTCTAAACTCATCGTTCCAAACACCAGATGCAATGAAGCCATGGTATCAGAAACAAACTGGATCTCCAGAGAGCTCACAAAGTCCTCTGCATGCTGAATGATGGAGCACG